CAGCTTTTCATAATTATTTTTATACAATTTTACATTAGAAGCAGATAATGTAACCCCCAAATATTTTACCTTATCAACAATTTCAAAGTCTGTTAAGTTAACTAAAGCCTGTTTATCACCATTAGTCATATTTTTAGCTAATATTTTGGTCTTATTATTATTAATTTTAAAGCCAGAAACACGTCCATATTGTTGAATCAATTGTAATAATTTCACCACCGAAGAAACAGGTTGAGACAAAGTAACAACCAAGTCATCTGCAAAGGCTCTTAATTTATATTCTTTTTTATTAATTTCTATTCCTTTTATTTCTTGAGACTCCCGAATTTTAATCAACAAAATTTCCAATGTTAAAACAAACAATAACGGAGACAACGGGCATCCCTGTCTTGTTCCTTTTTCTATTACAAAAGCCTCTGACAAACCCCCATTTACAATAAGTTGAGCAGTCTGTTTTTGATATATATTGGATAATACTTGTAATATATTTTGTCCAAAATTCATCTCCTTAATTAAACACAGCATAAACTGCCAATTCACTTGGTCAAAGGCTTTTTCAGCATCCAAAAATATCAGGCCTGCAGAGACTTGGTTATTCTTTTCTAAATACTCTAATAAATTAATAATTTGTCTAACGTTATTCTTCATATACCTTCCAGTTATAAAACCCGATTGATCCCTATGTATAAACTGCTGCAAGATCCCCATAAGCCTGTTAGCTAAAATTTTTGCAAAAATTTTATAATCCACATTTAAAAGAGATATAGGCCTATAATTTTTAGGCAAAGTAAGATCTTGACTATCTTTTGGAATCAATGATATAAATGCATTACGCCAGGATGGAGGGATCTCTAACCCCTGTAATAAATTATTAAACAGTTCACACAACGGTTGAATCATCTCTTCTACTAAAGCTTTATAATAAATAGATGTCAACCCATCCGTACCCGGCGCTTTGCCCAATTTCAGTTGTTTAATAGCTGTAACAATTTCTTCCTTAGTAATTAAACCGTTAATCTTTTTTTCCTGATCTTCTGTTAATTTAGGAAAGTTAACTTTGCCTAAATAATTATTTATATCTGTAATTTGAATATTAGTACCCTTATATAATTTTTGATAGTATTCTAAAAAAGATTTCTTAATCAATTCTTTCTGATAAACCAATTTACCATTATAATTTATTTTATCTATATTCCTCTGTTTCTGTTTTTTTCTTAACTGATAAGATACAACCCCACAATAAGAATTTTCTTGCCATATAAACCAAGTTCAAGCATAACATATCTTCCGTAAGGATCTGATTCTAACAAGGTAGCAGATAAATTCTGTTTAACATAGATTACCACACCCCCTTTCTTCCCAGGGGCGGGAGATACAAAATGAGATCCCAAGCGAGGATTATTTAAATATTTTTGATCTTTAGCTGTAATATGAGTTTCTTGCAAGCAAATAATATCATTGTTATGTTGTTTCAAATAGTGGTAAATTTTTTTTCTCTTTTGAGGAATGTTTAATCCATTAACATTCCAGGACAGGAGCTTTGCCATCTCCCTTGGCCTTCAGCCTGGAGAAGATCCGCTCAAATTCTGCTGCTGATGAATATGTAGCAGAGCTTTTGGGTCTTGCTCCTCCCACCGGCACTGAAGCAATTTGCTGAGTAGATTCTTCAATTTCTTTTTCTTTTTCTTTTTTCTGTTGTTCTTTTTCTTTACGTTTATGTGCTGCACGGGTCATTCTCTGTTCTTTAACCTCTGGTTGAGACATCCATACCACCTGTCCAGCAGTCATCATCCCTGTACCTTCAGATTTCTGTTCCATCTCTTTGTCACTCAAGACTTTATGCATCATGGGCAAAGGAGAGCCTGCTCCCAGGACCGTTTTATAAAATTCCTTAGCTTTAGCAACTGTATTAAGTCTATAACGTGTCCCCGCATGGCTCAAAACAATGCCCATCGGAATCTCCCATCTAAATGGCATTTGTCTTGCTTTAAGTTCATTTGCTAAAAAAGCAAAATCTTTTCTGCTTCTTAAAATTTTAGGTGGAATTTCCTTTAAAATAATAATATCTTGGGCAGCAATCTGAAATCTTTTATTATAAAAAATTTGTAGAATCTGATTTCGCAGAGACTTCTTAGCAAAATATATCACCACATCTCTAGGCAAATTCCTCTGTTTTGCAATCCAAGAATTAACTCTATAAATTCTTTCCACATCCCCACGTAACTCTTCTTTATCAATATTCAAAATAACAGCCAAGTCATTAATCACCATTTCCATCAAATCTTGAGTTTTATCTTCTTTCAGACCCCTTATTCTCAAAGCATATTCCATCTGTCTATACTGGAACATAAGAATATCATCTTGTGAAGTCTCCACTTTTTTCTCCATATCTTGAAATTTATAATCCAAAAGTTCAACTGTTTCTTCAATTTCCTCTACTCTGGAGTCCAGCTTCACAACCACTGAGGCCATTCCAGATAGAGCTAGAAGTATATCATCCCTCAAAATAGCATTATTCTGTTCTAAAAGCTCCTTCATCTCTTTCTTCATTTCCTCCTTAGTTTCAGATTTATTCTGGTCCAAAAGTTGTTTCATTTCCTCCCTAAACTGTGAGACAGCACTTACCATTATTTCTTTAATGTCTTGTGCTGATGTGCCAGATGGGGGAGGTGAAGGTGGAGTGGATTTAGGTTGCTGCACTGAGGGTATTATTTTAAGTTGTTGTTGCACAGTAGAAGTAGCAGGAGAAGAAGTTACTTTAGAAGCTGCAGTAGCTGGTTGTCGTTTTGAAGCCATTTTAATTTATCTTCCTTTCTTCTTAAAAATACCAATAAAAATAAGTAATCCAAAAAAAAAATTAAAAATAAGATAAAATAGAATAAAATAAGATCAATCTAAAAGTCCCCAAGAATAAAAAAGTAAAAAAGTAAAAAAAAAGCAGTATTAAACAACAATTCAGCCGATCCGTCTTTTAAAGGAAAAAACTTTCAAAACGCCATTTTACTTTCACTCTCACTTTTCCGCCCGAAAAAAAAAGAGAAAGCTCAAAAAAATAAAAAAAAAATCAGCACATACTAAATAAACTAAATAAACTAAAAAAAAATAAAATAAAGCTAAACTATAAATAAAATCCTTTAAACAGTTCTGTCCGGTTTAAGATTACTCACGGTTTCTTTAAGTACGGAGATGGTAGCGGCGTCTCGCTTTGTTTCCGAAGAAACAAAGACAGCTGAGAGGCGGAGAAGGCAATGAACTCCGAGGGAACCCTCTTTCTACCCCCCTAAAAATAAAAATCCAGGGAGAGTTAAGAGGTTCTACCTCTATTCATGCGATCTCTACCCCTTCCCTTCGCCCGGGAAGGGGATTGCGAGCCGCGGGCCAGCTGGTAAACGCTGTGCTCCGCGGATCTGACACCTTCTCAGGAGGACGGCTACAAAGTAGCCGCCATCTCCACCGCTTTAACCACCGGAAGTCCAATATTTTTTGACATTGTCAGCATTTAAATATTTTTTCTTAACAATAGAAAAATAAATAGTTAATCAAACATATAATTTAGTAAATGCAGTCTGTTGTTGCAAATGGTTGCAAATGGTCCCGGGCAACCTAAAAACTGCCCGGGACCAGACTGGCTAGCGCCAGACTTATGCGCATGCGCAAGGCGCAAAGAAAGAGGGTTCCCTATTGGCTGGACTGCCTGGGGGTTGGAAGACTATAAAAAGCCTGCGTGCCTGTTTGCAGAGTTGAGTGGAGTAAGGAGCAAATAAAGAAGTTTGATTACAACATGTGTCGTACTTCAATGCCTCGAACCCTGAAACACAAAACAGTCCATATTTCTAAAATTCTTCCAGTCAGATTGCTGGTCAAAAAGTATTTGTTCAGGTTTAGAAACAGAAGGGAATTTGCTAGGCCACTCCCCGGAAGGGAACCAAAAGAATCAAAATGGCAGCTAAATCTCTCCACTTGAAGCCTTGCCCTTTTTTAAAAAATCTATGATACATATAACAAGGGGAGGGCTTTAATTACCCAGTCATGGATGCCATTTTAACTTTTTTTGATTTCCATCAACAGATGCTCTGAGCCACTGCAGTGTCTGTCAATCTCAGCAATGTTAAGATATGGGGACTTCAACTACCAGAATTCCTCAGGTCACATGAAATCACACATTTTAAAGTTGTTGAGACTGAGAAATAAGGAGCCATTGTATAATTACGGAGAAGGGGTATTTTTCTATCCCTCTTGTATCAATTATTTTGTATTCATCAAAGCATACAACGTTCATTGTTGTTCACCTCCTGTTAATTGAAAAGAACATGAGCATCTACAAAAACCAATTAGCCATCCAATAGCAAATTAAAAGGTGCTTCAGATTCCTCTTAGTGTGTGCTTTACAGTAGCACAAGGACACATGAAATAAATCAATGTTGCTTTTGGAAGACGGTTATATTCAACAATTAGTTGAACTCATCTATTTTGTCCTGCACACATACTTCTTTAATGCCGAAATAATTATCATTTTAAACCTGCAAAATACTGACATACAGGTGTTAAAATAGCTTTCGATGGACATCTGTTTTTCTGCACATCTTTATACTTCTGAATAGTGATTTAGTACATTGTAATGTACTAAATTTAGTACATTCTAATAACAATTGTTACAGCAGTTAGTAATCAGTTGAGATAGGTTTATTACCCTACATTCAAAAATGAAATATTTACTATGTCTTACTTACTTTTCTGAAACTAATCAATACGATGACTGAATTAAGATTAATATTTCTTTTACCAGAGGCAACTGCTTTAAATATCAAAATGACTGACTGAATTTAATAATGACTTCATTATCAAAGGCCATTACTGTATTCAGAGGAAACAGAAAAGACAGTCTTGCGTCATATAAAGTGAAATCATAATTAATCGGAGAGAAGAATTTAACTGGAAACATAAGCATAATAGTAAGAAGTATTACTGTATAAGCCACTAAGAAAGAACAAAAACAAATGGTTGAGATCTAAAATCTATTTAATAGTTGTAGTAAAATGATTTAGTCTCTTCTGAAATCAATTTAGTCTCTTTTGAAACCTGCAGAGTCAAAATGATGCTAGATTTCTACACTGACATACAGCACGATACATAATTTGCTTTGAACTGTGAATCTCTTTCTCTTCTTGAAATATATTGATGGAAACTCCATGTTTTACAGTATGTCTAGCAAGGCAGGGAGGATGCTGGTTTCAAATGTTGATTGTCAGCATCTTAGATGTTTCTGGTTTATGGCACAAAACAGAATATCAGATTGAACAGAATTTCTGTTGGATCTAATGAGATCCCAAAGGTCTTTTTTTCCAAAAGGCAATTGAATTTACTTGGTATTTTCTTTGAAAACATTTCACTTCTCATCCAAAAAGCATCTTCCATTCAGGGAACTGAAGTTCCAGGACTTCAAAAAAAAAAAAAAAGTCCAGTTGCCTTTTGGAAAAAAACACCCTTGAGACAACCATGACTTGGATGATTGAGAATCTCCATAGACAGATCTAATGGGCTCTACAGTATAGTTATTGCAGACATGCTTTCTTCTGTGCAGCTGTTCCTACAACTGTTGTTCTTTTTCTCTTTTCTTCATTTACATACTTGTCAGCAATGAGACAGGACATGGCTGGAACTACTAAGTCTTACTATGCTACATTAAAGTAGTGGCAGTATCTGCAGATGCCAGGACTTGTATCGGAGAAAGTTAGGGATATGAGATTACAAACGACAGATCCTGAACTGAGCAGAAGGTTATACTAGCTGCCATCTGAGATCACTGCCAATTCTAGGATTCTACAAAATAACATGATTGTGGTTGTGAGTTCCACAAAGCTCCCAGATCACCTGAAAATTACCACTCTGAGTTTTGTAAATACAATTATTACATATTTGACATAGCTCTCAATCCAAGTAGTGCAAAATAAAACAAAATGCATATGAGCTCCAGAGTTATATTTCTCTTCTACATACTGTTTCTGCCAAGTTTTTATGTTAATCAGTGAGGCAAGCATTTAGAAACATCTAGAAAAAGCAGTAGCTGAAGATACAACAAATCTACAAGAAGAAAAACGTGGAATATATTTATCACAAGTGTTTTGAAACACCCTGCATATATGTCTCTGGTTTCTTGGCAGCTGACTTACATGGAACGAATCCATTAAATTTAATTTTCCCCACGTTTAGTGCCATCACCAGAAGTGGTGGTGTAAATCTTCTCCAGTCTATTTATGCAGTCCATACACCCGTTTGTTAACAGCTGTAAAAGTTCCTTGGAGGAAGGGCCATCACTGGCACATTGCAATCCAGAAAAATAACAAAACTAAATCAATATACATTTCCAAAGATGTCCTGCGGCAAAAATAAAAGTCATAAATATTTCCTTGGGGGAAAAATGATGATCTTACGTTTTCTTGGAAGTTTGCGCATTGACTAATCTTTTCTTTGCAATAGTTGGATTGGGTTGCACCTTGATTCTGGAGACTGCAGACTTCTTCTGCTTCAGACCACTGCTTAGGAGGGGTTTCAGTCCTAACATCTCACAATATTTGTTGCACTGGTGGAGAACCTTAAATTGATCAATAAATGAGATGGAGCAATTGCCTTTGAAACCTTTGTACCTGCAAAAGGAGAGGGAAGAAGAAATGAATTTAAATCTTCTAGCTTCATGCATTTTTAAAAAACTAATTTTCACTAAACTGAAATGAGAAAAATGTAATTTCTCTATATCAACCCGTATAAACCACCGCTGGTATCATCCTAGTTAAAATTAATACCATTAACTTTATTCTCAGGAAAATGGTGCTGGGTCATTGCAAGTACAATTAAGGTTATCCTCTTGTTGGGTCTAGAGCAGGGGTGGGCAATTAATTTTCCCAAGGGGCTACATAAGAAACTGGGACTATTATGGAGGGCTGAACCAATAGGGATGTGAAGGTACACAAATGCACATACACAAATTGAAAAAAAATAGCCTTCAAAATAAAAGCAATCCACAAGGGCTGGACAGGGACAACCAAAGGGCTGAATGTGGCCCAGGAGCTATAAAATACCTAGGTCTGGGCTAGAGTAAAAGAAGAAAACAGGACTTGAGTTTGGCTAGTCTAAAGAAAAGAAGAAACAGGGGTGACATCATAGCAGTATTCCAGTATCTGAGGGGCTGCCACAAGGCAGAGAGGGCCAGGTTGTTCACCAAAGCACCAGAAGGAAGGACGAAAAACAATGGTTGGAAACTGATCAAAGAGAGAAGCAACCTGGAATTAAGGAGAAACTTCCTGATAGTGAGGACAATTAACCAGTGGAACAGCTTACCCCCAGAAATCGTGGGCGCTCCATCACTGGAGATTTTTAAGAAGAGACTAGACCAGCGGTTCTCAACCTGTGGGTCGGGACCCCATTTGGGGTCGAACAACCATTTCACGGGGGTTGCCAAACAACGCAGTCCGCCATTTTTTTTCCCTTTTCCTTAGCTGTGCTACTCCCTTTTATTCTATTGGCTTTTGAAAGCCAATAGAATAGACTCTCTTGAATAGAGTCTAATTCTATTGGCTTTCAAAAGCCAATAGGAATTGTCCAGGCTGTCTCTGCCCTGCTGAGCCCGCCAAAAGTCCCATTCTGCAAACGGTGCTGCACCAGTTGAGTAGTCCTCAACTTACAACCGGTTGAGTAGTCGTCGACTTACAACCGGTGGGGGTCGCGGCATTAAAAAGTTGAGAACCACTGGACTAGACAGTCGCTTGTCTGAGATGGTACTATAGGTTCTCCTGCTTGAGCAGGGGGCTGGACTAGAAGACCTCCAAGGTCCCTTCCAGCTCTATTCTATTCTATTCTATTCTATTCTATTCTATTCTATTCTATTCTATTCTATTCTTAACAAAATGCAAAGTGACTAACCAAAGAAAGTTGTTTCCGATTTTATCATGATGATGTGACTAAAATCTGGTTACAGAAGAACCAATCATGGCTAATAAGATGGGCTTTTTGGGGGGTGTATGTGTGTGTATGTATCTGTGCGTTATAAGGTCTACTTTTCATTTCCTTCTTATCCTTGAGTTTCCTTGAGTATCATTACTCAAATATCCCTTCCTTCCATGTATGGCTGTATATAGGCTTGTTGTTCAAAGTTGGTCTGTAATACATAAAAATATAAATATTGAAAATATGCCAGTTTTTAAAAATGCAACATCAACCTTTTGGAAGTATTGTTTTCCTGTACACATGGTCCTCGGTTTACAACAGTTTATATAGTGACCATTCAAAGTTACAATGGCACCAAAAAAAATGACTTATGACCGCTTTTCACATTTGTGGCCATTGCAGCATCCCTATGACCATGTGATCAAAATTCAGATGCTTGGCAACTGACTCATACTTATGTCGGTTGCAATATCCTGGGATCGTGTGATCACCTTTTGCAATCTTCAGACAAGCAAAGTCAATGGGGAAGCCAGATTCACTTAGCAACTATATTATTAATTTAAAAATTTCAGTGTTTCACCTAATGACTGTGACAAGAAAAGTTGTAAAATGGGGCAAAACTCACTTAGCAAATGTTTCGCTTAGCAACAGAAATTCTGGGCTCAATTGTGGTCGTACGTTGAGGACTACCTGTATTGGTGTAAAATTCGAGTAAAGTATTGTTCCTCCAAGCCATACTAAGCAGCTTACTTATACAACAAATTAATAGCATCTCATTTTTATCAAGGTTAATTCTTCATTCAACTATTTCCCTTTTCCAAAAGAAGTCTTTATTCAAGCACTGTGATGACTGTTGCAAAAACAAAAACAAAAAACACCCCATCCAGAGTTTGTGAACAGGAAACGTGGCAGCTCACATTTTTCCAGGCTGAAGCTAAATCATGCTGAAAATAGGAAATCGTTTTTGTTTTGTTTTTTTCCCCCCCTTTTTCACACACTCATTCCAAGAATGGGGGAAAATACTGAACAATCGTTTGGAAAGGGGACAATAGTAGGAAACCACTTCTGCTAGCCTTGAAATGTCGTAATTGCATTTACTTTTTCCTTTAATACTTCCTCTTTTTCTCTCCATCTCTCTTCTATCAGAGACATTCATAGCACCCTGTGACAAAAACAGATGATGCCATACAGAAATCTAAGGGATACAAAAGCCACAAATATAGTGTGATATTAATAGCTGCATTTGTTTTCCAGTTCTGCCAAGACAAATCTCCTATTAAGAAGACACCTGTCATTTTGAAGAATCTCCTGTGAAGGCAGCTCTCCAAGGGGCAGGTGCAATGAAGAGACATCTGTACACTCTGCAGTTTTCTGGCACTTCCACAAACCTAAAGTAAACTACAGCAGTCTTCCTGTCATTACAAAACTAGACCCTGCAGGGAATGTTTATCAAACAAAACAAAGTTCAAAATAATTCCAATGGCTCAAAGTACCGAGCTGAAAACCACAGAATGAAATCTAACTAAAACACGTGCCAGGTTTTTCACCTAAGAAAAATAAATACCTACCCTAACTTGGTAGATAAGGGTATCTATGAAAAGTCCTTGAAATTTTTGCTGAGCATTATCTCAATAGGAGTTAACAATGGGATAAGACTGCTAAAAAAGCAGGAGTGGTTTTAGGATAAGTACATTCTACTCATGGCCATATAGTTCCTAGTTGGTGGGATGAAGACAACAGTGTGTTAGCTTGCAAAACAGTTCCTACATCAGAGATGCTAGTTTTCCATTGTAAGCATAAGCATGCTTTGGATAGCATTGAAATTTGCCTACGTTAATGTGCAAATTTAGCACAGTAATGTGCTAAAATTGGCTGACATTGTTCATGTCATCAGGGGTGATGTGATAGCAGTGTTTCAATATTTGAAGGGCTGCCACAAAGAAGAGGGGGTCAACCTATTCTCCAAAGCACCTGAAAGCAAGACAAGAAATAATGGATGGAAGCTAATCAAAGAGAGATCCAATCTAGAGTTAAGGAGAAATTTCCTGACAGTGAGAACAATCAATCAGTGCTTTCAGAAGTTATGGGTGTTCCAATACTGGAGGCTTTCAAGAAGAAACCAGACAGTCACCTGGTTTGGGTCTCCTGCTTGAGCAGTGGTTGGACTAGAAGACCTCTAAAGTCTTTTCCAACTCGGTTATTCTAAGGCAGTGGTTCTCAACCTGTGGGTCGGGACCCCATTTGGGGTCGAATGACCATTTCACGGGGGTTGCCAAACCATGCTGTCTGCCATTTTTTTCCCTTTTCCCTAGCTTAATCCCTCTTATTGGTGGCCACACCCACTTGGGGGTCACCACAACATGGGGAACTGTATTATGGGGTCACGGCATTAGAAAGGTTGAGAATCACTGTTCTAAGGTCTATGTTCTATATCAGAAGTCCCCAACCTTTTGGGCACTAGGAACCAGTTCCGTGAAGAAAGGTTTTTCCATGGACCAGAGAGTGTGTGGTTTTGTGTGCTGTCTGAATCCCACAGATGGGGCTTTGCTTGTTTGTGTAGACCGCTTGCTGGCATGACATAGCCCGGTACCAGTCCATGGACTGGGAGTTAGGGACCACCAGAGATTATTGCATATGGCGTAGGTACCACTAAGGCTAGTAATACATGCTAACAATCATTGTAAGGAGTGAGCATTTGCCTTAAGAGCAGGTTTGTGCTCACCTTTTAAGGGAAGTGTGATTTGGATATGTCAAGAGTACTATGGACAGGGGACATTTTTGTGCATGTGTGGTAAAATAGGAAGATAATGGATCAAGAATGATAAGATTAAAGAATGTGAACTGAATATCAAAATGATTGACTGACCAATATAAAAAAAGTGGCTTGAGGTGGTTTGGAGAAAATGAAGGGGAAGATATAAAGAAATGATGTAATTTTGGAAAAGAGAGAGGTGAGAAATTTAAAGAACAAAAGGCAGTGTGAAGTGGTTGGTCATCTATGGATATGGATGAAGCAAGGCTTACAAGGATAGACAATTATGAAGAAAGTATAACTAAATTATGTTGGTAGTTACACATTAGAGGACTCATTCCAGAATACAAGATAAATAACAATCATCGCAAATTACAGGAGAGCAGACTCTCAAAGAACATTAAGAAAAACCTTCCAAGCAGTAAATAATTCAATATTGGAACCAGTTAGAGAGTTGGTAGTCTTTTCTGCACTTGATGTGTTGAACATTCATCAATCAAGTACTTCCATTTAGATTTCTGCACTAAGCAGTGAGTTAGATATGGTGATTTACATGAGCTATTTGGAAGTGACCTGTCTCCTATATACTTTCACATCTAGCCTATTTTCAGTTGGCCCTTGCAAGAATCCATCTGTTTAGACTTAGCAGAGTAAACTTTATTAGGTATTTGGTTAAACAAAAGTTGAATACTTGGGAATACTTGATGCTCAGTGTTTTAACTACTTTTGTTGAAAAGGGGAGAAAGTATGCCCTCTGCTGAATAAAAGGAAACTTCTACATAGCAAGCTATAAGATGTTCTTGTTCACTGTTCATCAGTATTGAATATTTCCAATTGATTTAAACCTTTATCTTCCAGGATCCTCAGCAATGGCCATGCTATGGAATTCTGGGAGCTGAAGTCCTCAGATCAGGAAGTTGGGAAAACAGTCTTCTACTAATTCCATCTGAGCTCAAAATATTATATTTGAACGAGGCATTTCCATTTATTTATTTATTTGTGAGACTTATATACCGCTTTAAGTGCAAGCACTCTCTAAGCGGTGTACACCAGTAAGCAATGTATATATATATTTACATTGCCCCCAACAATCTGGGTCCTCATTTTACCTACCCCGGAAGGATGTATGGCTGAGTCAACCTTGAGCCGGTGAGATTTGAACCGCTGATCTGCTGAACACAGTCAGCTAAAGTGGCCTGCAGTATTGCACTCTAACTGCTGTGCCACCTCGGCTCATATATTATTAGAAACATTCCAATAAACTATGCCAATCCTCAAAGCAATTTAAAAGGCAACCACAGATTACAGATGAAATAGACTAAATCTATATTTAAATTAACAAAGGCAGATCGTTCACTTTTTACACCAGCAAAAGAATTGCAAATGGTCTATGTGTGTTGGCCCAGGAGGAAAGGAAAAAATATGTGCATAAATGGCATAAAAATAGTTGCATTCAACGATCACCAACAAAGAATTGCCAGTTGGCAGTCAATTCATGGAGACAGTCAATGAACTGTTAATAGGAACCTTTCCAGGCATGTGTTTCTTCATAACAACGGGCATTGCATGGAGAAGATACCTACAATGCTTCCAGCTCATCAACCCAAATGCTTTGGTCCTCTGAGATAGGGAACCGGTAGCCCTCTACATTTGTTAACTACAAAACTGAATATACCTCACCATTAGCACCAGTCTCTGACTGCCTGATCCATAGGTCAGCAAGTACTCTAGATGGTTCTAAAACTAAGGTCCAAATCCTTTTACGTAATTAACAACCATTGCTTGATTAGCACAACACACAAAAGACACATTTAAACTCCATTTCCACACCATGCTTAAATGTATTAATAAGCACAAAAGTGTTGTGCCTTCATGATGCAAAAAAAGTGTTGCCTATGTGAGTGCAACAGCACCATATAGGATCATGAATTAAACTATGCCTAGGCATACAGTAGAAGAGAGGGCTCTCAAGACATGAAAGTATGGCTGCCCCCTTCCCTGCGCCCAAGTAAGGTATCAAAAAAGCCCACCATGGGCCATCAGTCTCCATCATTACTTCTTTATTTCCATCCTCAAGAATAAAGTCTGGTCCAGTACAGCATCTTTACATTTTACCACCCAAAGATTCTAGTTTCAAATACATGTACCTTTGGAGGCCTCTAATCAGGAACTCAAACCTGCAACATCATAAATATGAGTCAGATGCCAAACTGTCTGAATTTTGATCACATAACCATGAGGATGCCACAATGGTCATAAGTGTGAAAAATGGTCATAAGTCACTTTTTTCAATGCCATCATAACTTTGAATGTTGCCATTGTAACTAAATGAACTATTGTAAGTCAAGGACTAAATACACCACAGATAGATAGATAGATAGATAGATAGATAGATAGATAGATAGATAGATAGATAGATAGTTTTGTGTGTGTGTGTGTAAGAGAGAGTGAGAGAGAGAGAGAGAGAGAGAGAGAGAGAGAGAGAGAGAGAGAGAGAGAGAGAGAGAGAGAGAGAGAGAGAGAGATCTGAGATCTAAACCACCAAAGATTTGCATACTGCAGTCCCAGAATACTCCTGTTTGCTTTTGGAAGAGATTAATGGCCTCTGGCTACTGTTGGGAATGACATATAGAATATTAATTAGAGTAATTCTCTATGATATGCTTATTGGAAATGTATAACATCAGAGAAAGGAAAATACATATTCATGCATTATTCATGATGCTTTCGGTATGTCTGTGAATAATGAATTATGGTAAGATACTATATATAGTACTTTAAACACACTTTAAGTCACCAGCATGGAAATGAGCTGAGGCCGTTCCAGATATCCATGGTGAAATATCACATTCTTTGGGCTTCAGGGCTGTTGTCATATGTTTCACTGCCTCATTTATAGCTTTCTGAATTCCATTCAAGGACACTGGTGCTGCTATGGTTAAGATGATGAAGTAGGAATGAAGAAGTCATAGAACTGTAAGGCTGAAAGGGATCTTGTGGATCTTCTAGTAGTCCAACCCCCTGCCCAAGGCATGAATCCTTGTATCATCTTGGACAAATGGTTATCCAATCTTTTTTTAAAAAATCTCCAATGAGAGAGCACCCACAAAGCTGTTCCACTGCTTGACCGGACCTGATTTTTCTTGACAATTTTTGCAGCAGTTGTTAAGCAAACGCTATGGTTGTTACATGAACATGGTGGTCATTAAGCAAATGTGGTGGTTCTTAAATGAATCAAGTTTATTCAATGGGCATTTTGTGCCAGAAACTGGGAGTAAATGCTAGAAACCACCACCAACAACAAAAACCATATTGCAGTCACATGATCACAGATCTATGAAGATGAGCCAGTTGCCAAGTGTCCAAAATGTGATCATGTAACCATGGGGTGTGTGTGGCCATTGTAACTTTGAAATGGCTCGTGTAGTTCTTGTGGGAGGGGAATCTATGTAAGGTCAAAGGGTCATTAAGCATATCTCAGTTTCCTTCCAGCAGTGATCAGTTTCTTATGACTTCCCTAGAATCTTCTTTGATTCTTCCTGTTAGTTGTTTGAATAGCAATATTCATTCCTATTCCAGATAGTTTAAAAAAAAATTCCTATCGCTTAAGTCCTAAAATTAGTTTTCTCCTTTAAATCTTTCCTGTTTTTTTAAATACAGTTTGTAAGGCTGCTGCTGAATACAAACAACCTTTCAAAAGTGTGCAGTGGTGTCAGAGACCTTGATGAAAGTTTTGTGCCTCCAATCGATAAAATAGTTGATGAAATTATTTAGCAAACAAATTTTAAAAACAAACTTTACATCGAGAAGAAGAAAAAATCAGCTATGAAAATGTCTGGCTCTTTATCAAAATATATTGAGAAGCCTGCTTTAATACCCCAATTTTTTAAAAAAAACCTATCTGTTTTTCATTACAATTGTCATTTATCAACTAATTAAAACAAATCTGAACAGCTGTATAGATGTGAAACATTGTTTTTTCTGCAAATTTACCCCCCAAAAATAAACTTGTAATAAATTGTATTTCTCCACATCTCCATCATGGTGCATGTTCACATCTGCCATGCACCATGAAGACATTGTCACAATTAAAGGTTAGCCACAATTTAGGTCTAAATTGACCAAGTGCTAAATACGTAAGGAACCCATCGTCTGATGATCAGAAAGTGCTTTGCTTCCAGAGGATTTAACTCTCAGCATCCATCCCATTAATATTTTATCAATTGGACGTCGATAGGAAAAGCTGGCTGAAATTTTCCTTGCTTTGAAGAGCTGGGATATAAAATGGATGCTTTGTGCTGTAACCTTTCTTTTTGCAGTCTGCACCGTAACAAGACTGAGGCCCAACTCACAAAGCAGGCCTGGGAAAAGTATGCTTTTTTCACTCACCCTTTGGCTGGTGTTGCTATGCCAACGTCTGTTAGTTTCATTCCTACACCTGGAAAACAAAACAGCAAGCCATTTACTACATCAATGTCATTTTTAGTGGTTTTGCTACTGATTACAGATGGTAACCATCACTTTTATATAGTTTATATCAGTGGTCAGAAATATTTAATTCCTCCAAGGGCAAGCAATTCAATGTGCCCTCAGTTTAGTGCTTTGCTGAAAAAAAAAAAAAAGCATGGAAGATGCATTACGTGGAGCCGTATAAGTTACGGTTTTGCAGACAGCTGTACACCTACTTGTTCCATATGTCCTGTCCTGGATTTTATGGAGGTGCTTTATGATTTGTGATGGCTGGATGCACTGAATGTTTCCTTGTAATCTTATTTATAATGTTGAGAGTGAATCCATGTCTGTTTGAAGACTATTGTCATATTTCATGTACTCAATGTCTCTTATTTAAGACCTAGTGTCTGGAGCTGTTGTTGAACCTGGCTTCCATGCAGTGTTGGTGCTTCTCCTGCAGCTTTGGCATCTAACCTTTGCTGCTTCTAGATTCTAAGCAGGAGCTTGACTTACCTACTATTACTTTTGCTCATACAAGTCTTTCTCCAGCTTGGCAATTTTAAGATATGTGGACTTCAACTCCTAGATCTGCAATCATCAGTTGAGCATCTGGGTATAGCAAGGCACACACTATTTCTCTGTGGGCCTGTTTGCAGATATATCAGTTGTAATACTACATTTACCATTAACAACTGTATAACAGTAAGATTCTCACCTTGCATATCTGTTACAAGCAAGCTGCCGCTGGTTTTTTCATACACCCAGTGCTGAAACGTGCAACATTTCTGGCCAGCTTCCGAGTCTCTTCTCATGAAATTTATTTCTTTCCCATCCCTAACAGAGTATTTCACAAATTCACCAATCAGTTCTTCTTCCACTGTTGCATAAGGGATGTTATTCTTGGGCCGATGAATAAGGAAAATAGGAATAATTCTGAAAGCAGAGCCAGTGGAAAAAAAACATACAGAATGAACACTTATGTTCTCAGAGAGAATGTTAGAAAACATATTTTGCGGACCTAATAAGTGAGAACTTGGAATATATTCAGTGTGTTAATGGAGAAACATGCTTCCCTAACTTCATGTGCCCCATCCAGCATGGCCAGTAATTAGGAAAACATTGAGAATGACAGTATAAAACATAGTACCGCTTTATAAAACCATAGTAAGGCCACACCTGAAATATAGCATCCAGTTTTGGTCACCACGTTACAAAAAAGATGTTGAGACTTTACAGAGAAGAGCAACTTTACAGAGAAGAGCAACTTGGATGATTAAAAGCCTGAAGGCTAAAAATATGAAGAACGATTGCAGGAACTGGGTATGGCTTGTCTAGAGAAAAGAAGGACTAAGTGACATGATAGCAGTATTCCAGTATTTGAGGGGCTGCTGCAAAGAAGAGGGGGGGGTCAACCTATTTTCCAAAGTATCAGAAAGCAAGACAAGAAACAATGGATGGAACTAATCAAAGAGAGAAGCAACCTGGAATTAAGGAGAAACTTCCTTAACAATTAACCAATGGAACAGCTTGTCTTCAGAAATTGTGGGTGCTTCATCATTCTTTAAGAAGAGACTGGACAGCCACTTCTCTCAAATTATATAGTGTCCTGCTTGAGCAGGGAGTTGGACTAGAAGACCTCCAAAGTCCCTTCAAGCTCTATTCTGATTGATTGATTGATTAATTGATTGCATAGTGGATACTCCTCTATACTAAATGCTGCACTGGGATTTGTTAAGCAGGGAAGGAAGCATTGAGTAGAAACAACACATCAAAAGAGGAAGAGGAAGAAGAAGAGAAGGGGGGAAGGGAAGGGAACACTGATTGATGTACATTTTCACCACACTATGCATCACTGTTTTTTTCTGGATGGTATGAGATGTTGAACATTTGGACCTTTACTTGAAAGGTATTAATTCAGTTCCAAAAAAATGGAAAAGGATCATATCACTGCTAGGCCTGGGACAGGGGTAGGCAATCTTGGCTCTTTTATGACTCGTGGACTTCAACTCTCAGAATTCCTGAGCTAGCTGGGTCAGGAATTCTGGGAGTTGAAGTCCACGAGTCATAAAAGAGCCAAGGTTGCCTACCCTTGGCCTCGGACATCAAGGAGCCAACACTGTAAACATTTGCTAGCCCTTGTATGTTGTGTGTTCATATAGAAAATTCTTCACATATATAAAGGCAGTGATAGCGATGTGTACATACTGTAAGACTCATAAGGCAATTCCATCATTAGTCCCAGTTCAAGCACAATGTGTTTTGATGAGCTGCTTATGTTTTTCTTTTAATCCTTCTTGTTGTGTCCTGAGCCTGCAAAGGCAGGCTCGGGACGTTGCAATGGTCCCGGTTGCAAGCTGCCCGGGACCAGACTGAGTGGCGCCGGCTTCGTGCGCATGCACGAGGCGCGGAAGCACGCCAGAATGTTACCTTTTTGCCCGGGGATTCTATTAAAGGAGTCAGAGAGGCCTGCGAGCCTCAGAGCTGTGACGGAGAGAGAACTACTGAAATAAAAGGCTGTTGGAATTACAGAATGTGCTCTATTCATTCGCCGTTGACTCGAGGACTCAACACTTCCAATATACAGTATTAATTCTGTTTTTAACTCCACATTTTCAGTTTGTTTGAACTATAACTGCTTAAGAATAAACTAGACGTCTCTGTGGAGAGCAGCTAACCCATGTTAGTTTCAACGTCCTTCCTTATCTAACAGTAAAGCTTCTTCTAAATGGCATCCATCATGCAATGCTTCTATGAATTTTTCCAGGAAGTTGTAAAAATCTACTCACTCGGGTACTTCTCCAAAGCCTTCGAGAGGTTGTGTTTCGGCAGCATATATCTTGGCATATTCTCTTGCAGTGTTCTGAACATAACATTCCTAGGTGGAAGAAAAGCCATGAAAAAAGAGTATTTTTATTTTATTTTTTAAAATAAAATTCCCCTCTGTGAAGGGACTCTGTGCAACTTGCTATATCATAAATAACAGAATAAAACAATTATAGGACTAGAACATTAAAACATCAAACATTTAAAGGTAAAACATTAAAATTAGTATTAAAACAGATAAAAAGCCAATGGGTAGATAAAGTAGAGGTGACATCTTTACAGCCACCTCCAAAATCCTAAAGGAGGTCAACCCTGAGCATTGTTTGGAAGGACAGATACTGAAGCCGAAGCTCCAATACTTTGGTCACCAAATTAGAAGAGAGGACTCCCTGGAAAAGACCCTGATGTTGGGGAAGATGGAAGGCAAAAGGAGAAGGGGATAGCAATGGATGAGATGGTTAGTGTCATTGACACAGTGGGCAGTGGAGGGGGGGGACTGTGCTATGGTCCATGGGGTTATGAAGAGCTGGACATGACTTAGTAACTGAACAACAACACCTCCAAAATCAAACGCCTCCATTGGGCCCCAAGCTACTTGGCAAAGAGTTAATTAGTTTTAATGTATAAACACCAGCTTATTTCTGGAATACCACTGTCCAAGAATCAAAACAGGCAAGACGGTGTTCAAGCATAAGTGAATCCCTTCCACTTTGTACATACAGCTGTGGTGGCTTACAGTGGTTAGAATGCAGTACTGCAGGCTACTTTTGCTGACTGCCAGCTGACTGCAGTTTGGCAGTTCAATTCCCACTGGCTCAAGGTTGACTCAGCCTTCCATCCTTCCAAGGTCAGTAAAATGAGAGCCCAAATTGTTGGGGACAATATGCTGACTCTGTAAACCCCTTGGAGAGCGCTGTAAAGCACTACGAAGCAGTACATAAATCTAAGTGCTATTGCTATTTCTAGATATGAAGGAAATATGTACAAAGAGGTGTAGCTTTATCACAATGACCATGTTTTGACCCATCCCTCCCCCGGATATCAATGTTCTGATCACTTCAATTATAAGGGGCTTGCTTCTGTATGCACTTACCTGTAGCGCCAATTTGTAATTTTTTTCCACAAGTTCATTGTTATTCTTGGTCCCATATACAATGGCATTGTGCACTTTCAAAACACAGGGGTGACCTGGGCTGAGCGGAGGCACCAAGCCTTGCAACACTTTGCTTCGGAAAGCTTTTCTATGCACCCCTTCCCCGAAATGTAATTCTTCCGTTGTAATCCTTCCATGCTGACTTTTACTCAAGTAACTATCACAAATGAAGTCTTCTTTGAACATCAGCTGTAAGAATTCTATCTCTTCCAAGCCTGTTAAATGAGTAAATAAACGTATTAATCCAAAGGAAGGAAAACCCTCCAGTGTTTGTATTGATTGCAACATGCAGGCAAATGAAGGAGGAAAAAACATTGTCATACATCCTTTCTGTTGTGGGTATCTACATTTTTATCTTTTTTTCCTTAGCACTAAAACATAATTATAATAAAGTAGAATAATCTGTATTGGCTTTGTTGCTATCACCATATCTTCTGTTTCATCTCTATTCTGAATACAGAATAACAGAACTGGAAGGGACCTTGAAGATCTTTTAATCCAACCCCCTGCTTAGGCAGGAAATCCTATATCATTTCAGATGAATGGTTGTCCAATCTCTTCTTAAAAACCTCCAGTGTTGGAGCACTCACAACTTCTGAAGGCAAGCTGTTCCACTGATTAATTGTTCTCACTGTAAGGAAATTTCTTCTTCGTTCTAGTTGCTTCTCTCTTTGGTTGGTTTCCATCCATTGTTTCTTGTCCTGCCTTCAGGTGCTTTGGAGAATAGCTTGACTCCCTCTTCTTTGTGGCAGCCCCTGAGATATTGGAACACTGCTATCATGTATCATGTCTCCTCCTCCTCCTCCTCCTCCTCCTCTTCTCCTCCTCCTCCTCCTCCTCCTCCTCCTCCTCCTCCTCTTCTTCCTTCTCATCCTCCTCCTCCTCCTTCCTCTCTCTCTCTTTTTCTCTCTCTTCCTCTCTCTCTCTGATATTTCTTTAATATTGCAATGATTCTCAAACTTTTTGAAAATGCATAATTGAAGCTCAAAAAGTTTGTGCTTTCTGATCACTGAAAAAAGTCTAAAAAAAACCTCCTAACAACTAAAACCCATTCTTAAGGACTGTTCGTATGGCTCTGTTACTACTTTTCTCTTGTGACAGCATATTGTTTTCCATAAATGGGCAGTTCTGTAGCTGAACCCATGTACCAATGGAAATAGGTTTGTTACTGAGGCCAGAATCTAATACGGAAGATCATTGAAATTGGTGGAACCTATTTCTGAATTGGGATGCCTAAGATTGCACTGTGATTAGCAGGAACATATGTGCATGAAAACTATCTGCAAACATGTTGACAATTATGTAGAAAGGAAATCTGTTAGGCTTTTCATGTTCATTGTTAAAGAGATACTTAACGGTAATCACTCAAAATAGATAATTATGCAATTACCTGAAATGATGTGGATTGATCAATGGAGCCCTTAATAAGTTGGGATTATTCTACCATAACACTTTTTTTCTGGGATTAGAGTAGTTCTTATTTCTTCTTATTTTATATTCCAATGAATAAGTCACACCACAAATCTTACAATAAAGTAATAGAAACAATAGCCTTCCATCAGTTGAGTGAAAGTAAAACTATCCATTGCACTCAGGTTATCCCCAAAATGTGAAAACAATTTATAACGAATCACATTTTTTATTATATTTCCTAGATCTATTTAGTTGTAGATCTTTTACCCATGGCTCTTTTCAATAATTACTGATTTACTTTGCAGTAAGTTAACTTTTCAGAGGTGCCTCTGATATGTCAAAAATGTCAAGATGGCAGTACAGCCATGGAATCAAAGCCCCACTATTTTATTGTATGCAGCACATGTGCAACACGTTTAAAAAAAGGATGGAGCTTTGATTGCATGGTCATGGTCATCAAGTTGACTTTTTGACCTCCCATATGGCCATCCTTTACCCTTCTCTGACCTGGATGTTGACTTTCACCTCCCATATCCCCAAGCACCATAAACAATGGTCATACTGGAGGAAGTCGGGAGAATTGTAATCCACTCTATCAGAAGGCCATGTGGGTGGGATGCAGACATGATTAAGTTTCTGCATACATCAAGAGATCTTTGGAAGAACTTACAGTTTTTATTTCTATCCTGCATGAAAATTGCATCTTTCATGCATCCTAAGAAACCAACTATGTATTAATTACATTGCTGTTCTGGTCAATAGTTATAGCTTTCTGGACAGCTTGTAGATAAATAAATTCACTAAATCAGTGTTTCCCAAACTTGACAATTTTAAGGCATGAGGACTTCAACTCCCAGAATTCCACAGCCAGCAATGCTGGCTGTGGAATTCTGGGAGTTGAAGTCCACATGCCTTAAAATTGTCAAGTTTGGGAAACACTGCACTAAATAAATGTGTGAAAATATTTATTATATTAAGAAGAATACCAATTTCTAGTTTCTCATATGCTATGATACTTCCTCTTATGTATTCATGGGTGGCAACCTGCATAGATCCTTTTTCAGGGACCCAGAATCTTCTCTGAACATCTCTCTGAAATGTGAAAGGGCACTGGCCAAAATTCCTCATATTTTGAGTCAAGGACATCTAGAAAGTTGTAGAATAAATCTTTTCAAAAAACATATCATTTCTACCCCCCATGACTCCTTGCTTTTGAGAACTTGAAAGTGACCATAATCAATTGTGATTATTACTTACAATTATCTCATTGTGCTAAAAGAGTTATCTTCTCTTTAATTTACATATTATTGCTACACCAAATTCCCTTTTAACAGCACTCAACATGGATCACATCTCAAGACCGAAAGTACACAAGGAAATATTTGCTGTTAGTAAATGAAAAGCCATGCACCTGTTTTAAAAGGAATGGAACAATTAATCCTACTTCTTAAGGAGTCAGGACAAATCACCATTTGGTTGATTGAATGAGCAAAAGTTGAGTAACACATTATGTATGGCATGGACAAAACCTGTTGGCCAAAACATTATCTATGTTTAGCACAGACACTGCAGTGGACATACCGATGTGATTAAAGAATCAGTAACGTATGAGGAAAACTTTTCATAATATAATTCTTTGCCTATTTCTTTGGACAGATAGATTAAAATGCAATTCATCAGTTTTTGAACTATTATAAAATATGTTGGCACATTTTGACCATATTCTGTAGACATCCAAGGAGGACTCAAAAGTTGGTAGGTAAAGAACTATCTTTTCCTATGCCTATTTCTGTAGGAATACATGGGTGTTTGCTCACCAGATCTGTGACCATATGGATCAAGCCAAAATGTAAAGTGACTAGATTCAGCATAAAATCTGGATCTCGAGTCTTAATTATTTTCATACAGGGTTTCCTCCTCCTCCTCCTCCTCCTCCTCCTCCTCAAAAAGGCAGGTTTGGTAAAAGTTTTCTATCTCTTACTCTTGATCTTTGGTAGATGCTAAGAGCAACAAGATTTAAGGTAGCATAGAAAGAGAATAAATTATCTCTCACTCCTATGGAGATGGTCACATTGCTAGAGAAGTCACAATTTAGTTGGAGAGAGAATCACTATACCCAAATCAATAAGTATAACATTTTCTCTTCTATTTCAGGAGCATGGAATTATTTGTCAAAGAAATAAACCTTTGGGAGATGTTTCTTCTTCCCTCTGGAGCTTAATATATGAGACTTCAACAAATTCTATAAAACCAGCAGCTTCCAGAGACTAGAGAGATGTAATCATCCTACAGTAGTTTAAAGTAGCCAATAGAATAATAGAATCTTAAATTTGGAAGGGACCATTGGAGTCTTCTAGGTCAGGGGTAGGCAACCTTGGCTCTTTTATGACTTGTGGACTTCAACTCCCAGAATTCCTGAGCCAGCATGGCTCAGCTTGGAAACCTCTCCCTTTCCCCTCAGCATGGCTGGCTCAGGAATTCTGGGAGTTGAAGTCCATAAGTCATAAAAGAGCCAAGGTTGCCCACCCCTGTTCTAGGCCAATTTCCAATGTGGATATAGGAAATGGGCACATCTGGCCTCATCAACAACCACATCAAGACCACTACTTTAAAACTAGAAGACAAAGAATAATGTTTAGGCTGCTCCTTGGTGGATAAGGATAAGATGAAGCAGGTGTGTCCTTAGAGTTTGGTCAAAACAATCAAGACGGTGGCTGTGATGGGGCAATCAGAGTTAATTTTTTCAATGATGCACATTGAAAATAAGTGGAGCTTTGTACCATGATGGTTACCATCTTGATCCTTTTTACTATACCCTGAGGATACCTTTGAGAAGAAAGCAGTGGCATGGACATGGAATTAAAAAAAAAGGTTCCTGAGAAATATTCATGCTCTACTTTGGGACACATGAGCCTGAGCCTATAATGTTTGCATTAGCACTGGGGTTTGCAAAGGACAGATGTTCAAGCACTAAGGAAACTACAGGCAGTCTTTGACTTACAACAGTTCATATTGTGACTGTTCAAAGTTATAACACCACTGAAAAAAGTGACTTATGACTGTTTTTGACATGACCGTTGCAATATCTCTCACATGGATGTTGATGGTCATCTGATCAAAATTCAGATACTTAGCAACTGACTCATATTGATGATGGTTGCTGTGTCCCGGGGTCATGTGATCACCCTTTGCAACCTTCTGATAAGCAAAGTCAATGGGGAAGCCAGGTTCACTTAACACAGTGTTTCTCAACCTTGACAATTTTAAAGCATGTGGACTTCAACTCCCAGAATTCCACAGCCAGCAGTGCTGGCTGTGGAATTCTGGGAGTTGAAGTCCACATGCTTTAAAATTGTCAAGGTTGAGAAACACTGAGTCTTAACAACTGTGTTACTAACTTAGCAAACTGCAATGATTCACTTAACAACTGTGGCCAGAAAGGTGATAAAATGAGGCCAAACTCACTTGACAAATGTCTCAGTTAACAATGGAAATTTGGGGCTCAGTTGTAGTCGTAAGTCAAGGACTACCTGTATTATCAAGGTTCAGCCCCCCTTTTCAACGAAATGTCTAAAAGGCTGTTTCATGGCAAAAAGGGTTTTCTGACCTTGTAAGCTAAACCAACAGTTATTTCAAGTGATTGAGGCATCATCCTTTGGTTTTAATTATTAAAAATATTACATGCTCTTTTTTTTAAGAATGACGTCAAACAGTAGGATTAGAGACCTTATCTTTAGAATCAATTTGCTCAGTGTGGAAAGGCAGATCAGATCCTCAGCAGATTCTCACGTAGATCTTATCTTATTCCATACCATTTTTCTTGTTCCAGAATGGAAATCATTAAATATTTTAGAGTGAAACCTTGACGCATCTTAGGTTCATTTTCTCAAGAATTACACAAAATCAACAATCTGATTATGATTTTGCATAATTCTGCAAAAGTTTGTATAGAAAAAAACCATCATTATTTTACCTTCCACATCCTGAAGACTGGACAGATGTTCCAAAACTGTAGAAAGATGAAAAGAAATGTACTCAGAATATAGGCTACACTTCATTAATTACAGTTGTGTGTTATGTTTAAGGAACAATTCATCACATGTTACCTTCAGAGGTCAGGTTAAATTCTGAAGTTGCTTTTCCATATATATTCTTCAGGCAGCAGTGATACAGGCCTTGGTCTTTTTTCCCAGCTTGAACTATTGCCAAAGAAACTGGAAGGTCATCTTTTGCACTAGAAAATACATCAACATTTGAAAATTCACATTAAAAAAAAAAAAGACAACTTCCTTAATTTTTCAGAGGTGCATGTCTTGTAGATCAGCAGTCCCCAACCTTTGTGACTTGGCAGCCCAGCTGGGGGGGGGGAGGAAACTGGGCCACATGAGCACTTGCATGAGTGGTGGGCTGGCGCATGCACACACAGTGCTTGCACGAGCAGTGGGTGGGCGGGGCAGTGTGCGAGAGTGCCCAATGGCCCACTGCTCCTGCAAGCTCCAGCCAGCCATTCATACAGCTCAGTTCCAAATAGGCCACAGCCCGGTAGTGAGCCATGACCCGGAGGTTGAGGACCCCTGTTTTAGATCAGAAAAGTGTCTCCCTTCCCCTTTATTTTATTAACAGGTAATCCCTGTCTTCCAACCAGTCACTTAGCAACTGTTCAAAGTTATGGTGGACCCTCAGAAAGGAGTTATGACTTGGATTTGGAGCTCTGACATCTGCCAGCTCCTCTGCGGTCATATTATCACATGTGGGATGCTCCGTAACCAGTCTGAATTTATGGCTGTTTGCACTGCCCCACAGTTATGTGACCATGATTTATGATTATTTTTACCAAAAACTGGCATTTACCAAACCCTAACAGTTCCACAGCTTGTACCAGCCTAGTTTGAATAAGGGCAATTTAACACACCAGTAAATTCTCTAAAAACCACTCTATTAACTACATTTTTCTATTTTCTTACAGATCAGGTATTCTATGAAGAACAGTTACAGGAACTAGATATGACTCTAGTCTAATGATTAGAAGGACTAGGGGTGACATGATAGCAGTCTTTCAATATCACAGGGGTCGCTACAAAGAAGAGGGAATCAACCAACTCTCCAAAGCACCTGAAGGCAGGACAAGAAGCAACGGATGGAAACTAATCAAGGAGAGAATCAACGTAGAACTAAGGAGAAATTTCCTGACAGTTATAACAATTAATCAATGGAAAGATTTGCCTTCGGAAGTTGTGGGTGCTCCCTCACTGGAGGTTTTTATGAAGAGATTGGACAATCATGAAATGGTTTAGGGCAATGATGGCGAACCTTTTAGAGACTGAGTGCCCAAAAACCGCTTCGCCCCTGCCCCGCCCTGCCTCTCCTGCCTGTAGGGCCACCCACCACCTCCACGCCCTGCCACAGCAGATCACCCAGGCAACCCAGCAGCATCATGGTGGCCATTCCCTCTGTCCGCGCCCTGCAGCATCATCTGTACACAATGGAGCATGAGGGCGGAGTCTTGTCCCCACTGCCCGGCTGCCATGTTCTTGGCTGCGCTGCTCTGCGCAGGCTGCGCCCGGGGCAACTCTCCTCTGGGGGGGCTGCTGGTGAGGAGGGGGCTATGGGGGTGGCGGGGCTGGGGCGATGGTGTGCGTGCCCACAGAGAAGGCTCTGAGTGCCGCCTCTGGGTTCGCCACCACTGGTTTAAGGTCTCCTGTGTGAGCAGGGGAAGGGATGGACCAGAAGACCTCTAAGGTGCCTTACAACTCTATTGTTCTAATCTGTTCTATAAACCCTGACATGATTATTAACTTCTTTTGGATTAAATGTAATCTTCCTATGGAGAACCAGTCTGAGACCTGAAAATATCACATGAATGAACAGACACAGTAATATGGCTGGCATTAGAATTTGTAAGAATTAAATCAGGTTTAGGTTAATAAATATTGAAAATATAAGGCAGGTTGCCTAATATCTTCTTGTCCTAACATCCTGCAATTTACAATCTGCAACCACAGATGCCCTTACTTGCTGGTTGTTTAGCAAGAGAAAAGGCATTACAAAGTCAACATACATACTGTAAGAATTATAGATAAAATATACCCCTCCCCCCATCTTTCCTTTCCCAAAAACCTCTGCAAAACATGTTAATATAATTATCTTACCTTCTGTGAACTCGAGCAAGAAGCTTAGAATCTTTTGTCCAGATAATGGTGGAATCCGAATGAATTTCTCCAAACTGGCAACATAATTTGATATTTCCAGAAAAATCAGGAAACAGTTCTGCGTGGGTTTTCCTCAGCAGTTTGGGTGCTGAATTTTTTTTTTTTAAAAAAAATGATGAGTTATTTATTTATTTATTTATTTTATGAGACTTATATACCGCTTTAAGTGCAACACTCTCTAAGCGGTGTACACCAGTAAGCAATGTATATATATATATATTTACATTGCCCCCAACAATCTGGGTCCTCAGTTTACCTATCTCGGAAGGATGGAAGGCTGAGTCAACCTTGAGCCGGTGAGATTTGAACCACTGACCTGCTGAACACAGTCAGCTAAAGTGGCCTGCAGTACTGCACTCTAACTCCTGCACCACCTCGGCTCTATTTGGGATGAACATATGTACGGTAGCATTTGAAGATTAATTTGCATAATATATACTGTATGGTTTGGACAAAATTCAACAGCTGTTGATAAAAACAGGATCGCCAATATGATCTCCAACGTCCGATAACGGATATGGCATAAGAAGAAGAAGATGACATGGATCGGCTGATTGAACTATTGCTCTGGGTATACATATTTATTCCTTAACAATATATTGAATATAAAGACCACATAGATATTTTGGAGTGTTCTTTTTAATTCAGAAGAAATAAAATCAGGCATATCACCCTTGAGCAACCTTGTCTATTCTCTTGCTAGCCTTGTCTACTCTCTTGCAATTGTGTCCAACACAGCTAGAGGATACCATGTTGTGAAGAAGATTGACCTAGTGTTTCTCAAATTGTGAACTTTAAGGTGTTTGGACTTCAACTGCTAGAATTTTGCGAGGTTGGCTGCCATGGCTGACTGGGGAATTCTGGGAACTAAAGTCCATACATCTTAAAGTTCATAAGGTTGGGAAATTCTGACCTAAGCCAGGGATAGGCAACCTTGGCTCTTTTATGACTCATGGACTTCAACTCCCAGAATTCCTGAGCCAGAATTCTGAGAGTTGAAGTCCCCAAGTCATAAAAGAGCCAAGGTTGCCGATCCCTGATAGATAAGACTATTAAAATTGTTCCCTTTAAAATTGTTGAGGCTCACAGATAGAAAACCAAGTTCAGAATGCATGTTCCACATCCAAATTCTCACTAGCACTGTTTGCAATGAAGCTGTGGCCTCTGCAGACTAATGAACCTATCACACTCTCATTGTCAGTTTAGATCTCATTTAACTCTGAGCCCCATGCTTGTATTTTTTTAATTCAAAAAAGAGCATGTTTGTACAACCAGGTGGAGATTCTAGTTACTGCATAACTGATCAGTGGAGAACTGTTTTGCTGAGATAATGAAAGCATACTTGGGATAGTTGATCAACAAATGGCAACTCCTACATCAAAGGTAGATTTTTAAGAATAGATCCTAGAGCTCCTCCACAAATAGCCACTGAATTGTAATTTTAACATGACAAATGGAAGGAGACATTAAATACAAAGGAACAAAAGTGTATAAATGTGTTTTGAATTCCAAGTTTCTAATTTAAAATGCCCATTATGAGTTTAGATTAGTCCTCCACATGCCCAACAGCTATTTTAATTATTTGGGGAGTATTTTGATCTCGAAGTAAAGCATTCCAAACTAGAAAAAAAGCTGTTTTAAATTCAAATCACTTCCACAACTAGGCTGTTTTGACCTTGAAACAACTTTTTTTTCCAAGTTTCAGATAAGGTGTTCTGAATTTAAAATGTTTTGCATTCCACTAATGAGGACAAATCATATTAACTGAGATAATAAATTCAAGTTAATTACTTTAAAAACAGCTCATTCTAGAGCATAGCTTATGATCCACTGCTAAAGGGCCCTTGGTGCCCCCAAAATTGCATCTCAGTGTCTCATTGATTAAATAATTTGGGATTTAGAACAGTTCATGCCTTAGAGAGTAAAGTATAGAATACCAAGGAGACAAACTCAGAATCCGAATTGGGCATCTTTACTTAAAATATTTTCAGAAAACAGCAACTTCTGCCAGAAATCTAGGGGAATTGTCACAGGGAACTACTGTTGATAAAAAGATTACTGACAAAAAAACCCCACCTCATTTTCTAGACATACCTTTGTTGTCCTTTTTGCATAGTATTTTCTGTTCTTCCATCTTCTCTTCCCTTGGAGTTAAATCAGTCTCAGTTCTCCAGCTAGCATCGTTACAGATATTTTCCTTTGTTTTAAGACATGGTTTTTTGGACATCTTAGGCATCAGGTTGTTTATTATTTCATGCCCGTTCTTTATGGCATCAGCACTTTTGTGAGGTGACAATGGCTTGGAGATTTCAGAAGCTTCTAGTGATATTGTCCTCTCATTTCCTAACACAGAAACATCTCCCTCATTTGCTCCTAATGTGCATGGCTGAGTTTGGACCTGTGGTAATGCTTTTTCAGAATCACAGTTGTCCTCAGAAGCACAAGGCAAAGGCCTCTCTAAAATCCCCATTCCACACTCAGATGAATTTTCCCTCTTACCCTCTGTGAAGGCTCTGCTTTGATCGGGGTCAGTGGTTGTAACTGTACATCCAGTCTCTAATCTTCCTACCAGAACAGCAGCTTGCTCATTGCAAAATTCCATGAATGGAGGCATACATTCTGAGTAATCATGCCAAGAGTAGGTTGGTTCTGAATCAAGGAGTGCCCTCATGTAAGGCTCTACTTCAACTTCCTTCAGGTCATCATCAACCAGCTTTTCAGTTTCCTTGGTGTTCATTTCATCTGGCATAATTTTGCTCTGACTTTGTCTTTCCATTTTTTGATACTCACCCTGACTCACTGTAACAGGATGTTCTGAACCAAGTAGGGCTCTCATATAAGGTTCTGTTTCAGCTTCCTCAAAATCAGGTGCCACAAGCAGGTCATTTTCTTTCTCTGACTGTATTATTTCTTCTATCTCTTTGTACTTATCTTGCCATGATGTCATTGTCTTTGAATCCACGCTACTGTCCATTTCAGATGGGATGGATTCAGTTTCTCCAACATGCTCAGATAGCACCAGTTTATCTGCACTGTAACTTTCTGATGCTCTTTTCATGTTAGCTATATCCTGACTATGCTTTGTTATATTGCCTGTCCTACCATTCCGAGTCTTTTGGCCTATGCCATAATCCTCAGTGCTGGTAATAGTTGAAGACTGCATAGCATTTGAACCTGCTGATGTATTCATTTCAAATGGAGAGCATGCCAGATCCAAGCCTAAGCTTTTCATGCTCTCATTCAAATGTTTTGCAGGAGCAGATTTTTTCTCCGATACTAATTGTTGGGAATTGTGTGGTGGCAACTTTGAGACATGTTGGGAGTCTAGAAGAGTTGGTTCCAGACTTGCAACACAGTCTGTGCACTTTTGGCTTGCATTAGTTTTAACACTTTTGTTAATTTCTAACAGCACCTCAGTGAAAAATCTAACTTTGTATGATGCTGTGAATATGGGTCTCAATGCATCTTTTTCTATACTGTTATCTTGGCTCATTTTCTCTAATGCTTGCCAATCATTTTTAGGCTCAGTAGTCATTGGTGAATTAGACTCCGGAACGTGATAGATGTGATTCTGTGCATCAGGTACAGCCTTAAAATCTCTACTGTTACTCTTATTGTGATAAATACCACAACTCCTGTCTCTTTTTGCATTTGATTTTGACTTACTTTCTCTTCCCTGATTTTCTTGCTTGGCATTTCTATTGATTGCCACAACAGAAGTATGTTCTCTACTTATTAATGGAGCCATAATTTTCCCACAGAAATTTCTAGATGAATCCTCTGTCAATGGACAGTCATTTATTCTAGACTGACTTACAGGACTTTGATGTTCTTTCAAAGGTATCTTGTTAGCTCGCTTTGCTATGTGGCCACTTTTCCAATTAATATTCTGTTCAGTATAAGGGAACTGGCCAAGATGATTAGGAAGCTGTTTTAATAAAAATTCTTGGCTAGGTTCTAAAGGTTTGTCTGGAACAACTCCAAATCTACATGGAGGTTCTTGTTCACAACACTGGAAAGCCTTTTCAATCAATACTCTGCCTTCATGATATACACACCTCTGAATGGATCCATGGTGATCATGCTGGGCTCCACACTGCTTATTTGGACATTTTCCCTTTTGGAGATTGCTCCTTATAAAGTAAACATGTGGCTTTTCTCTTTTATCTTGAAAAACAGAGCACAGATCTGTGTAATCTGATTCTACGGGTACTGTCATGGAATTGACCTTGGATGTATGGCTATATGCTTCATCTGCTTTTAGCAAGCTAAAATCAATTAGGCCTTCCATTTCTGTTGTCAATTCTGAGACATGCTGATTATCTTCTGTTAAATTTTCTGGCACATGCTGCCTACCACTTACATCTGCAGTAATGTCCAGTCCTCCGACCTCCTTGGCACTAGCAGTCTCAGCTGATATATTCTTAACCTCCTTGCTGGTGCAACTGAAATCATCATCCCAGTGGTCATTCTCATAAAGAAGTCTCTGGGAGAGCTCACACATTGTTGATAAATCAGCATCTCTGTCCTTAAGTTCTGCAGATTCCAGGATGCTCTGGAAATTTTCTTTGGATTGATGTTGAGTCCTAGGAATGTCATGGAGTATTTTTATTTTGTTGAGTTCATCGGGTTTTCCTGCACATTCCTTTTCCATTTGTACATCAAGCATGGACAGTGGAACATCACATAAGGCATTGGGGCAACCACAACTTGCCCTGTTATCCACCGCTGTGAGATTAGGAGCTTGATTCCAGCCTGGCTTCTGCTCTTCAGCCTCATGAGTTCCACCACTTCCATCAAGAGCTACAGCATTTTCCAAAGTAAGGTTGCCCATCTGAAATCCAGTTTTCCCATAGACCTTTGGCAAAGCAGAATTTTCAGCAGCCCCATGAGCAGGTGTGAAAACAAGTCTCTCATCCAGTGTAGGATCTGTTATAAACAGTTCTTGATCATTGCTGATTGATGCTGATGTTTCAGTATTGATTTCTTGTTGCTCTGTCTAGAAAAAAACAGAATAAAAACAAAGAATGAAGAAGGCACATAAAAAATTCAGTATTAGGCTAATTGACAAGTAAGCCAATAACAGTAAAAAATATAATGTTGAATTATAAAGGTATATTGCTCTACTTACCTCCAGGGATGACTCATGAGCTTATTGTCTAAAAATATTCTTATAAAGATTGATGTTAGGTAAGGCATTAAGGCTTGGTGCAAAACCTATTTAATTTTAACAGCATTTATCTTATACCCTGTTGCATTGAAGCTCTGCAGCTTTTCAACATGTTGAAATAAAAGTTAAGTGCTTTAGCAATCTTTTCCCAAATAGGATAACTTTAATCCCATGAAGAATCTTTCCAATTGAATTATAAGCATGTTTAACTCTGACTAACTCATTCCCAATCTTCTATGATCTTAATCCTAGCCATGCTGAAAGTAAAAAATACTTTGAAAATACATAATATCAGAGCACGTATTTGAGTCAATCTTTTTTGAATAATTACTGCATCTACACATAAGAACCAGTGGAGCAGTAGATTCATTCAGCTAATCTAGCCAGCCTTGGCTGATCTTGAAAAATTAAGTAGAGTTGGACTCAATGAGGAATTCATCAAGAGGCATTAGGGCTGTAGATTAAATTAGAAAGTTGAGGAACCATGTCAAGAGAAGAAAATGGCAAACCAGTCTACTGTTGCTAAGAAAACTACATGAACATGTCTATGAAGCCAATGGCCACTTGAGTTCCACTCAAAGAAGTCTTCTTGACCTGAGGTTGAGCACAAACAACAGGATATTTTATTTAATTATTATTTCAGTGTCAAGGCCAACCAACTCTGGGCAGCTTACAAATAATAAAATAAAATATATTAAGTAAACCAAAGGAGCTCAACCACCATTCTAGCTCAGGGTATGGGTGGATAACTAGGTTTCAGTTTGGGGGAAGTCAAAAGTGTGGGAGCAGTATGGATTTCTAGGCATATGTTATGCTACAGGGCAGGAGCTCTAACTGAAATGGTACACTTTCTAGGTCCCACAAGATGACACCGCTTAATTGACAGGACCTGGTATCTGCCCACTCTAGTTGATCTCACCCAACGGGCCTAAAGGTAGGGAGACAGGTGGTCCCTTGTGAATCCAGCCCCTATGCCATGAAGGGCTTTAGATGCCAACATTTTGAAAGCCAGCTGGCAACCAGTGCAGCTCATGAAACAGTGAGGACACACACATACCATAATGTACCCATCAATGCCTATGGCATTGCATTCTAGGCCAGCTGTAGCTTTTTAGTAGTCTGTAGAGCAACTCAACATAGAGCACATTTTAGTAATCCATTTGAGAAGGACCATATCATGAGTGCATGTCTGAAGATTTCCCCAGTGTTCACATCCAATTTTTAGCTTCCAAGAATGAAATGCTCAGCCTGGTTAATCAAAACAGTCCTTATATTCTTTTTGTGTGCCGAAGATTTATTAATACCCAGCTTAATCCTGGTCATTCTGCCCACTGAAGAAAGCCTTAAAGTTTTCCAGCAATTTATCAGAGAAAGGAGAGTTCTATGCTATGCATATCTTATTATATTTTCTATATTTTATTTTTTCACATAGGCTAAATTTGAAATCTATCAATAAAAACTTATTGGCTTTGATTAAAATAAAGAGGAGTCTTAACTTCCTATTTACTTCTGAAAACATTTCTCTAATTTTAAAATACACTCCAAAAACAGAAGGTGTAGCCTCAAGTTATTTATTCAAATATAGTATATATTATATTAATGATGATGGCCTCATTTAAAATTATTAAATTTAGGGCAGTTTGTTAAGTACATAATGTAATAGATTCTCTCTCTCTCTCTCTCTCTCTCTCTCTCTCTCTCTCTCTCTCTCTCTGTCTCTCTCTCTCTCTCCCTCCCTCCCTCCCTCCCTCTCTTTCTCGCTCACACGCACACAAACACATAATCACTATTTCAATTTTCCTTAATGCAAAAGTTTTTTCACAGAGAAAAAAAATGATATTTTTATATATAATGATCTTCTATATATATAATGATATATATTTCTCTCAAGAAAACATATTTTGAGAACATATTCTCTTCATTTTATAATCTACAAAACTGTACGCCATGATAAAAGTGTTAGCCTTTAAGATGCCATATGATTCTTATTTTTGCAACAACACAGGTTAATTAGACTACCTCTCTACAGTCAAAGTTCAGTGTTAACTTTCTGCAAAAGTCAGCTTCATTTCTGGTTGCTTAGTGCAACCTCTACTTATATTCTGCTTAACCTTTTAGTAAATGCTTTGGAATCTTGCTAACATCATCTGATCAGTCTGCCTACTCTGCAGGTGATCGCAGAGTGGAAAACGAAAACGGGCAGTTCAAACTCAATCCCCCACTGAGCACTGAGCATGCTTGATATGATTTGCAAGCATATTACACAGGAGCACATTTATATTGCAGGCCTTCGCTCTGGGTCAATCCTTCCTAATCCAGCAATTTCCTTTATTTCCCTTTATGTAGGTTGTACATTATTTCAAGCTCTTTTTGCAAAGCAGCCTCTGGCAAAAGTTGGCAATGTTAAAACTGGCTTTAACCTACTGTAAAATTAAATACCTTCAAAATCAAACAGCATTGATTATATTTAATTACCAAGATTTATTCAAATTTATGTAATAATTTTCTACTTAGTGAAAAAAATTACAATTGTCAGGCACTTTGACATCTACCTGAACCAAAACTAATTTTTTTTTCCAAATATAATCTTAAGAGTCTTTTATATCGAGACAAGAGATAGGGCTACAAGAATTCCAGCAACTTAATTATTTCTCATCTGAAAATCAATATATGACCATACAGGTAATCCTTCACTTATGACCACAATCAAGCTGGAAGTGGATATGTCTAGTTTAATGAAGAGAAAGACAAGGGGGGACATGATAGCAGTGTTCCAGTATCTCAGGGGCTGCCACAAAGAAGAGGGAATCAAGCTATTCTCCAAAGCACCTGAAGGCGGGACAAGAAGCAACGGACGGAAACTAATCAAGGAGAGAAGCAACCTAGAACTAAGGAGAAACTTCCTGACAGTTAGAACAATTAACCAGTGGAACAACCTGCCTCCAGAAGCGGTGAATGCTCCAACACTGGAAGTTTTTAAGAAAAAACTGGACAGCCATTTGTCCGAAATGGTATAGGGTTTCCTGCCTGAGCAAGAGGTTGGACCAGATGACCTGCAAGGTCCCTTCCAACTTTATTATTATTATTATTACAACATTTCTGTTGCTAAGTGAGAAAGTTGTTAAGTTAATTTTGCCTCATTTTATGACCTTTCTTGCCACAGTTAGTAAGTGAATCACTGCAGTTGTTGCGTTAGTAATATGGTTGTTAAGTGAATTTGGCATCCCTATTCACCTGTCAGAAGGTCACAGAAGGGGATCACATGATCCCAGGATACTGCAATCATCATAAATATGAGCCAGGCATCTGAATTTTGATCACGTGATGCTGCAACAATCATAAATGTGAAAAAAGGCCATAAGTCGTTTTTTTTTCAGTGCCTTTGTAACTTTAGCCACTAAACGAACGAACATTAAGTCAAAGACTACATGTACTGTATATTGGAGCGTTGATATTCTCTTTTTCCCGACAGCTGTTTTCCTTGAACCAATGAAATGAAGAGTAGCTGCACTGATATTGTAATACAGGAGACTGTATTTATACATCTCCCAAATCTTTATCACCCTGAGAACTGAGCATTTCAGTGTATTAATCCAATTTCAGAAAAGATTTTGAGGCTGCATCTAAGTCTTTCTTTGGATTTCCATGCTACATAACATCCTGGAATCATTAATTGTACATCCCCTATCAGCTATATGCCAATTTCTTGGCCCAGAATTTGAGCTGAATTGGTTTGCTTTTAGGATGACATTTGAATATATCTGCCACTGAGCGAGGTTTTCATTTGTTTCATACACAGGTAGCCCTGTGAGCCCCAAATTTCTGTGACTAAATGAGACATCTGTTAAGTGAATTTTGCCCCATTTTATGACCTTCGTGTTCCTAAAGTTAGAAACATGGTTATTAAGTGAATCTGGCTTCTCCATTGATTTTGCTTGTCAGAAGGTCTCAAAAGCGTGATCATCTGATCCTGGGACACAGCAACCATCATAAATATGAACCAGTTGTCAAGTGTCTGAATTTTGATCATGTGACCAGTGGGAGGCTGCAATGGTCTTAAGTGTGAAAAATAGTCATAAGTCACTTTTTTCAGTGATGTTGTAACTTTGAACGGTCACTAAATGAACTATTGTAAGTGAAGACTATCTGTACAGATGTTTTTGAATCCCCAAAATGCATATGTACAGTTTTACTGGAAAAAGAACTAAGTAGAACTTATTTCTGATTTCCCCCCTATTTTCCAATTCCATCAAAATTTCCATCCTCCTACAGCTTTATAAATAAAACACTAGGAACTCATCTGCAATTCCTCTTCCAGCTAGCTATTTCTGTTTGATTGCAAAAAGGAATCAAAAGACTTTTAAACTTTAGCATAGTCAGAGTCCAGGGAAAAATAGCCTATCCCATTACCTCTTAATCATGTTTGAAACCTGCCCTTTCTGGGATGCGAATGTTTGTGACGTGACCTTCACCATCCTTGAAACCTGTTGAAAACTCACAGTGATCATCCAGAATTAATTTTGAAGACCTATCTATTGGGAACTTGAATTAATCACTGTAACAACTTCTTGTGGTTTAATGAAGAGAAGGAAGAGGGGGGACATGATAGCAGTGTTCCAATATCTCAGGGGCTGCCACAGAGAAGAGGGAGTCAACCTGAAGGCAGGACAAGAAGCAACGGATGAAAACTAATCAAGGAGAGAAGCAACTTAGAACTAAGGAGAAACTTCCTGACAGTTAGAACAATTAATTGGTGGAACAACCTGCCTCCAGAAGCAGTGAATGCTCCAACACTGGAAGTTTTTAAGAAGAGACTGGACAGCCATTTG